GGCTATGGTGTTGCTGGGATTTGGTGTTTAGGCACCGACCTTTCCCTCAGCGGCCGGGATCTACTTATCGGTCTCTCTAGGGTGTATACAATGCGTTAGAGTAACCTTTCAAGCTGGACCACCAGACGGCTTGGTCAGGATTGCGGAGCTCGAAGTGAAACTGGCTGATGCTGCCTTCCTAGCATCCTACGACAGTTCCCTCATCGGCGCTGAATACGCCCTTGATGGTGTGGCGGCCACAACGGCGACGACACTGGATGCGGATGGTGTGCATTATCTACAGGTCACTCTCGGCAGTCTTCAGACAATCTGGGGCGTAAGGGCGGTCTTTGAGCCCTCATCGTTCCCAAGAGGGTACACTTTGGGTATCTGTACCGAGTCTGTTGTGACAAATTGTGACTGGAGCTCACTTACAGTCTATACGACTGATGTGAACAGGGACAACAGTCTAGTCATCAGCTTCGAGGCTCGTTCAGCTCGGCATCTTATGTTCAGTTTGAGACTTCCAGCTGAATTAGCGGCGGGTAAGGTAGAGTCTAGTTTGCATGACCTGGAGTGCCATGCCTATCCTGTGATCTCAGATACCTTCTCTAAGGACTATAGGTTGGCGACTTTCGAGGTGTACCAGTCGAGCAATATCGCTTTGACTAGTCTGGGGGCAACAGCAAGCGCCAACGCGTACTGGAACCACTCCCCTTCGAAGGCTCTCGATGGGTGAGTACCAAGCCTCGAGCTCTGTTGGTGGGCTACTGTGGTCAATTCAGGGACGACTTCACCTTCTGGAGCAGTGAGGTGGATGCCAGTGAAGCAGAGCTTGTCATAACACTACAGGACATCACCACGACTACAGTCCTCCGGCCTTATTTCGTATCCCTGGTCTCTATAGTGGTGAGCATTATGGCCGTTTAAGACTCTACAATGCTGGTCTTTACGTGGTCGCTAGGCTAGAATTACATTTTCTTTCGATGGTGAAGGAATTATGGTATATTCATCCGACGTGGTGTTGACTCCCTGTATATGCTGTGCGTCATTCATTGCCATGAAGGTTTGATCAGTTCCGAGATGAGCCCCTCGACTTTGACATATACTCGTCACTTGACAACAGCGTATGGTCACTCCTAAATAGCTACCAGGATAATACCGCTAAGAACATCATCGTAACCGATACTTTCGATGCCAACTATTTGAAGATAGCCATGACCCGACGAGCCTATGACCTCGCTGCGGTACGTGAGGTATCCCAAATCTCGGAGGTTGGGCCTTGGTCTCAGCTGGTGGCTATTCGCAGCCCAAATTGTACAGTATATATACCGTAGATGTCACTCATTCGCCACAGCTCCAGTTGGGGA